GGACACGTGAGAACCACTTCTGGTCTCTTTGTTACTGGTAGGTTCTCAGCTTCCACTGGAATTGGATTCTGTCCCTTCACATCTCTCTTATCTGCTTATCAAGTGTGGCTAATCTACTTGCCTTAGTAAAAAGTCAAATGGACGTGGGTAGCCTCTGGGAAGTTTTTGTCTGGATACCACCAGGCCAGTATAGCTATTAAGAGTAAGCTATCTGGCTGGGATTTTCAAGAAGTGCTAGATCCCCTGACAGGACCTTCAGATGGTCACACACTTGGACCAGCTCTCCCGCTTCAGTGTACCTGGTCCCTGCTGACTGGTCTCCCTGGCTTTCTTCCCTGGCGCTCCTCTGCCCCAAGATTACACCAGCTTTCCTCCTCAGGTATAACAGCTTCTGAGGGAAGCTAACTGAATACATGACATGACATGAAAACCCAGCACGGAGACTCATGAATCCAAGAATCCAGAGCATCAGCTCTTCAATCCTGGCTGAAGAGTAGAATCCTGTGGAGCCTGAAAAACCAACCACAAAAACGCCAATACCCAGGCCCTCCTTCCTACCCCTATCTGTCAGGTTCTGGCATTTTTAAAAAACTTCCTAGTGATTCTAATGTGCAGCCTGCATGGAGAAGCACTAATAAGAAAATAAATTCCTCTCACCTTTGTACTCATTAAACATCTAAATTATAAAAGAGGCTGGGGCATGCAATTGCTTTCCACAAAAGAAAATTCTGAAGAAATAATGCTTCTTCTGAAACGGAAAGGAAACCTCTTCAGACTCTTTCTCTTGGAAGAAATATTTTACCTATCGCAAATGCAGTGGGAAATCAGAAGGATGTGATAAAACAAAAGGATGTCTATGGTTGATGTAGAAATAGGTAAAGGAACTCTTATTGAATTACTGTATATTCAGCTGAATAATATCACTGTTCTTGAGCAAGATGTAAATTCACCCTTTTTGAGGGCAAATAAGTATGTTTTTTCCTCCAGATGATTTTCTGTTGGCAAAAAAGCAGCTTTGGTTGGCAGGGGACTTGGCAAGCGCAGGTAAAGAGGTATGAATGACCCTGCCGACTGAAGAAACAACATGTAAAGATGTGTCAAGGTGTTCACTGCTCTGGCCCTAGGTTCCTCCCTGACTTTTGCTCCTCCCTGATCCCCTGGCTCCTTTGATGGCAAGCTAAAGAACACAGCATGACTGGAGGCAAAGGACCTAATCCCAACAGAAGCTTGAAGCCCAAGCTGAGGATTACTCTGGAACTCAGGTAACACCAGATAGGAAAACCTACGAGTGTGGGACCACATCTGCACCGCTCCCACTGTGCACCCAGCCCTGCAGAGAGCACGTGCTGGTGATGGAAGGATGAGTAAACTTCCCCACAGTGCTATTTTTTTTCAGTCCCTCTATATTTTCTGGCAAACCCTTAAAATTCAAATAGGCCATATATAAAGCTTTTGTTGTTGCTCTTTTGTTTGCTTGTTTGTTTGTATTTTGTCAAAGCCAGAACCAGTTAGAAAAACTAGCGATGAAAGGGAGATAATCAGTCCGAGAAGTCCACCACAAAAGGAGACTTAATTTGGTACATAGATCTAACCTAGTGGGGGTAGTTGGTCCCACACTTCACACCAAATACTTTGTGCTGTCTTTTTTCAATGAACTTGACCCCATAAGATATATATTAATCCTTCATTTCAAAAAGGCCCATCCTGCCTCCTTCCTTCTTACATGTACAAGTCCTTACTGAAAAACACTATCCCACACAATGAAAATCAAGTCATTATTGAGCTAAAAACTGCAAAACCTAGGCCGGTTACTTTTTCTTTAGTATATTATTATTATTATTTATTATTATTAAAAAATTACATTCGACTGAAGTGAAAGGAAATATATTGCCTAACATTGAAGGATTCTGAGAACCTCAGTAATAATACCAGGATGTTTGGAGCTGAAAAAGGAAGCCCATCATTTTAATAAATTGAGTTTCTTCACAGACTTTATGACTGAAATGACAACAACAATGGATAAAGACTAGATTCCCAACCTTGGTGAACGTGAAGCTATTGCACTGACAAGCTTTCAGACTTCACATGAGGGAAGGACAACTTTTCCTAACATCTACTACATGTAAAGGCTGCCTCTATTTCTAGGGCAAATTTGTCTTAACATCTGGGTAGTTGGAGTTCACAGATACACATACTCCTCTTCTAAATTTGAAGTTCAAGATTCCACAAGTAACTCATTCAGAAGTCTGGATTTTTCAAAGTTTGGTCCAAATGCCCTGAAGTGATTCAGTTATAATTTTGCTGAATTTGGTCACTAGACAAAGAAATAACGCTGAGATCACAATGACAGGCACAGCCCAGGAAACAGTCTAGAATTCTTTATTTGTAAGGAGCTTCTATCTCAATTTACCTCATAAGGAACATATCTGTGGTGAAGGGCTAACTACCTTCCCAGGGCAGCCAATATTAGAAATGTTTTCTTTAGGTTAAACAGAGTTGAAATCTGTCTTTTCGTAAGTGCCACCCAGTGGTTCCAGCCTGGCCTTGTATTGCTATACAAAATAAAAATATTTTCCCTCTTCTCGTTGACTTCCCTTTTTAAGATGCTAACTCAGCTCTCAAGTCTCTCCTTGGCCATCCCTTCCCCAAGACCTTCAATCATTCCCTGATTTGCTAGAGCTCTCAACTCCTTTCCAACTTATTTTATGAATGTGCTCTCTTTTCAATTGCCCTTTTCCATGTTTCTAACTTAAAAAAAAAAAAAAGTATTCACACGAATGACTACATCAATTGAGATTTTCAGCCATCCTTTTGTTGTATATACCTCTTTTCCAATTATTTTATGGAGATGCTCTCTTTTCAAATATCCTTTTGCATGTTTATTAACTTAAAAAAAAAAAAAGTATTCACACGAATGACTACATCAATTGAGATTTTCAGCCATCCTTTTGTTGTATAAGTTAACACTGTGTACTGAACAAACACATTAATTCTTACTCTCTGATTTAGAAAGTTTCTTAAATTTAGAATAAAAGGTCTCTTTAAGTCTCCATCCACTGCTGAAACCTAGCAGGCCCCTGAGTGAAGCTCCCTCTAATGATGCTATGCTAAAATTCAGCCTGTGATTTCATTCCAATGATTGGGTCTTCCAGACCGCATCATGAAGGCTTAGAGAAGCTTATTTGGGAGATATTAAATCACAGGTAGGAAAGCAAGGCATGGGTAGTGATATTTACATGCTTCACTATTTTTATAGATATTCTCCCACTCCCTTCAAATTGGTATGTCCATTATATTTTGGAAATAAGTTAGAAAACAGAGGATCCTACACTTCTTTGAAAATGTCCTTTTAAGAAGTATCTCTGATTTGGGTACCAATTGTAAACACAGATAATAAATGAATCAGAAGCCAACCAGTATGAGGTTTTGTTCACTGGTTCTCCAATATTAGATACAAAAACAATACAGATCACCACCCTGTGGTGAGGTGGGAGAAACGCACTGCTCCACAGTCAAAGAACCACACGCGAGAATTAGGAGCAGCCCTGCCCCAGGCTTCATGTGTGTGAAATTCAGAAGCAGAAAAGCTATGCTCTGACAGCCATGGTTCACCAAGATGCTATGACAAGGTGATGCTTTTCCTTGGGAATCACATTCCTGACTTCTACCTAGTGTTGACACTGGGCAGGATCTACTCATCACTGTTTCTGGCAGTGTTCCTAGCCAGGTGTGCAAAGGGGTTATGAATGAGCATCTACGGGTTCCTCATCTGAACATCTGCTCCCCGTTGCTTTATTCTACTGCTCCAAGATTCATAGGATTCAACATCACATGCTGGATTTCTTGTTTGGAAAGCAGATTTTATTTAACGTACACGTTTATCTTACACATAAGAAAAAAAAAAGTATCCCTCTGCATCCTCACAATTCTCTGACTTTAACCACATTTCACTAATTACCTCCAACATTTTTTAGATCAAAGAGATATACCTTTAAACTTCTATTTGTGAGTTATTTATTAGAAGTAGATATACTTTTAATTTTAGTAATTCATTAATAAAAGAGATAACTTTTCAGAGTAGTGCTTAATATAAGGGAAAAAAAATTTTTTTTTTCAGTTTTCCATTCACTGACAACCAGATGTTTAATTAAATTGAAACTTTTTCTTTTCTTTGCCAGTTAAGGATTAGATGCCTAGGGAATTCTTATAACCCTGTTAGTACTAACTATTCTTTTTTTCTAATTGAGCAAGAAAAAATTATAATTATATGTGATTAGCTTTACCACAGCATAGAATTTCTGGTACTGAGTATCACTACAAGAAAGAGAACCAAATGATATTAAAACAGGTTAAATTTTTTTTCTTAGAGAAATATAAATGCTCAACTTACCCAGTTTTTTTTTTTTTCATTTAGAAAAATAGTAAACTATGCCTAGCATATGTAAACCTATAACTTGGTTTCACGCTACATAGTTAAGGAGAGAAAGCATGGTGGAAAAGAGAAAAGATAAAGAAGAAACAGAAGTGGGGGAAGAGAATGAGGGAAGAAGAGAGAAGAAAGAGAGAGAAACGGACAGGAAAAGGGAATGAAAGACACACACAGAAATGAAGAAAGTTCAAGAGTAACAGCCAGGGAGAGGCAGGCAGAGGCGGGGAGGCCAGAGACCTGAGTTGAAGTGAACTTTTCTGTCACACACTTTGGTCCCTGAGCTGCAGACACCCATGTAGGGTATCGCTGTCCTCCGAAAGTGGGTGAACTTAAGAGCTGCTTGTCACAGCTTTCCTAACTGTAACCCTTGGATCTGGAGAAGGCCCTCTTTTAGAGGGATAATCACCAGAGGGGACATAGGAGGAAATTCCCCTCTGAGTCAAGATAGCAGCGGCTTGAACAAATTCACTATGAGCCACAGAAAACCCAGCTGAGTCAGATCGGGCTCCAGGGCTGAAATGGCCCCAACACCGAAGCAATCCCAGACCCACGGCCTTTTCAAAGGGCTTACCTCCTCAACCATCTGCTTGACTTTCTTCTGCTGGCAATGCACCATGTCGTCTAGGTGTCTGATCCGTTCCCGGAGGCTGGAAGATGCCTCCTCCAGCTGCTGATACCTAACACAAATAAAAAAGAGGGCAACTGAGTCCTACACCAAAGCAGCAACACCAGTATAGAAAGTCACCTCTGGAAAGGAATGTCGCCAAGAACTAAAAAGGGAACTCCAAAATTCACCCTTCTAAATTTGCATGTATCCTAGGTGATTACCAATCGGCCACTCAGCAAGAGAAGAAACATAGGACTATTTTTCAAGTTCCCACTTGTAAGTTTTACCCTGTATAAGAATAGTTACTATATTTTCCAGGAACTGAGAAAGAATTTTTGGTACCACTGTCAGGTATGAGAGGCTCTCTGTTGTGAGATACTGAAACTATAAATTACTTTGATTAGGAGAACAGAGGAACAAGAGTCTAGCAACACAACAAAATATCTGAAATTAGAGCTCCCGGCAGAGCCCTGAGAAGTCTGGAATTATCATTGTCCTACATATCATTATTTTGGAAAAATGGGAAATATGCTGAAAGACCTTCTCTGCATCAAAAGAGAGAGAACCACATCGTAAAACATTTCATACTTCTGTTTTAAAACAGCACACATTATTCTTTGACTTTGTGTGGTTCGAAAAAAAAACAAAGAACCAGCAGATGGGCTCTTAAGTTCTTGGGGGCCACCAGACCACAGCACTGAATGAAGGGTCTGGGGGTCTGCTTACCATTTCCCACCTCTGCCAGGTCCCTCCTCAGCACTACATTAAAGACTAGGGAAGACTCCCATAACTGCAAACTCTGAAGTTGCATAAGGAAAATGGGCATTTTTCCAGCATGTACTAAATGCATCCAACAGTTCTCTCACAATAATAACCCAATGAGATGGACACTGTTATTATCCTTTTAACTCCCTCCTCCTTTAAAAAAGAATTCTCATTTTACAGATAAGCAGAGAATCGCAGGGAGGTTAAGTAACTTGCCCCAAATGCTCAAACCATCCCCACCTTGTTTTCCTTCACTACAGGGCTGTGCATGACCTCTCTGACTTTTTATTTCTAGAAGAGACTATATACTACTTCCACATTTTCCATACAGGACTTTATACACTCAGAGCCAGGGGACAAAGCAAGGTTTGACTGAGCAGTTTGTAAACAAAGAAAGATATTTTAAAGTTAGTTTCCATGGCAACGGTATTAGTCATAGTTGATGAGTTTTCTCAGCAACAAGGAGCATTTTGTGGAGTTCAAGGTTACAGAGAACATTGATAGACTGAACTTTTGCACTTGTGACAGTGCAAAATTAAAATGTGCTTCACTGCACTAACAATCAGTCATGGGATGTGGCTATTAAGCTCCTAAGGAAACTGGCTTCATACTGGAAGCTCTTAGCTAATGTTTTGTGTGTATAAATATGTAATAAGAGATGAGCAGATGATTGAAAATGCAAGGACCAAGTGAGCCCATAAACACACAGTGTGTTCGCCATCTAAATCCACTGTAAGATAGAGGGTACTATGTCCTACCTTCCATTGTCAGAATTAGTTATTTCCCCTGACATTTCTGTTTCATGCTCCAGGAGTTGTAGTTGCAGTTGATGGCGTTCCTAAAATAAACAGACACTGATATTTTCATCAATAGATTAAACCAAATAGGACAGAGAATGGTTTCAGGCAATTTCAACACTAGTGAGTTCAAGTCTATATAACATCCCATAGGTTTTACATACCCACTCACAAGAGTCCAAACGAAGCTTAAAAATGTCTAATCTGTTGATGTATATTTACAGATGTATTTATGAATTAGAGACAAACATCCTCGATAAAGCATTCAAGATTTCTTTGTTTAAAAGTATTCTGTCAGCCTATGCTCAGATGTCTTGTGAAATTTATAGTTCTAAATAATGATCATCAGGGTCTACGGTCATGCCACCCTGAACGTGCCCAATCTTGTCTGATCTCAGAAGCTAAGCTGGGTCAGGTCTGGTTAGTACTTGGAGACCACTCAGGAATACCAGGTACTATAGGCGGTAAAAATGAAATGAAATGAAATGAAATGAAATAAATGAAATGAAATAAAAATAAAAAATAATAATGATCAGCAATACTCTAACTCAGTGGCCTGTGGTGTTGCAAAATTCTTAATTATTTTCTGTATCATTAACAAAAAAGGCTGTGGAATTCTGGTAATATCTTACACGTCAACAGGTATGTTCGCTTGTAAAAATGTATGTGGTAGTCAGAACAATGGCTTCCAATAATGTCCTCATCTTAATCCCTGAAACCTGTGAATATGTTGCCTTACATGGAAAAAGGAACGCTGCAGATGTAATTAGTTAAGAATCTTAAAATGGGGAAATTATCCTGGATTATCACAGCTCATATTAGAAGGAGGACAGGGGATCAGAGTCAGAGAGAAACAAATGGGAAAACGCTACACTGCTGGATCCAGAGCTGGAGGATGCGGCCATGAGTCAAGGAATACAGGTGGTCTCAAGAAATCAATTATGAATTAGAGAAAAGGCTAGGGAATGGATTCTCCTCTAGGAACCCAACCCTGCCAACACCTTGATTTTAGGACTTCTGATCTCTAGAACAAATTCATGTTATTTTTAGTCACAAACTGTGGTAATCTGTTAAAGCAGCAATAGAAACTAATATATATATCTATATCTATCTATCTATATCTATCTAGATATATAGATATCAAGCTGTGCATTAAGGTTTCTATACTTTGCTGTTTATATGTAAATTTAGCAGTTTACCAAAAAAAAGCAATATAAGAACCTGGGCAATTATTTCTTTGGACAGAGTGAAAAATATTACCAAAAAAAAAAAAAAAAGGCATAGTGCTCATCGTAATCAAAAGTGCACTAGAAATATATCACGATTTTAGTGCAATAAATTTCTTTAAAATGCAGTTTACCAAATCCTGCACTATTTGGGAGATGATTCTACTTTAAGCCCTCTTCTAAGTACTACTGTGCCTCATATTTATTCTCAGAAATTCTCCCCAACAAACTCTTTCTCGTTATACAGATTCTAAATCTCTTTTCTTCCAAATTATTAAAAGCAAATCTCTGAAAACTTAACTCCCACAACTTCTGAAGCTGTAAGCTATGGTATGCCAAGGGCCAGACCAAAGAGGTGGGGGAGCGGTCACCCTGACAGGAAGAGTGCATCATCACTGACGTATTTAGAGTCATAAAGGAAGACAGACTTTTGGTGGGGTTTTGTTATTATCTCAATCTGTACGGCAAACGCACATCAGCTCAGCTTGGGCAGGTTGTTCCCCTTGCCCCCACGTGGTAGGCCACTGGCTGGAACTTTATATTAGCCTTGACATAATAGTGATATACTTTGTATCAGTGAGTCCCTTTTCCAATTCCCCTCCAAAAAACTGTCATAAAGTAGGGCAAGGCCTAATTTATAGCACACTTTAAAAGTTCAATTTCTCTCTAAATTGCAGTACAATAAATCTTAAGTGTACACTGCATAATAATTTCTTACATCTGTATATATCTGATTACTTGGTGAAATCACCACCCAGATGAAGGAATAGAATATCATCTGTTCTGCAGAGGCTCCCTGGGAGAATATACTCATTAAAAGATTTTACTGACCAGAAAAGAAGTGGTCCAAATACGATGCTCAAAAAGAGAAACAGTAAACTCGGGTATATGGTAGAGAAGCCATTCAAAAGCATATGGTTTGTCCTTAAGCAAAATCCAAAATTTGGTGCTAGCAGGACACAGACACTACCACAGTTCATGCCCGTGCACACGCTGTTCACATTACTGTGTGACACAGATTTGGCACAATTCCTGATCTCAAAGATTTATCCCTGAAGGGGAAAGAAATGTAAGTTGGTATATCTAATCCTGGCTAAATAAAGCAAGCATTTCTCTAGCCCAAATGGAAAAGGAGATTTAAGGAAAGGACAATAAATTTTCAACTGCTAAAGAAAAAACCATCAGGACTCGGGGAATGTTTTGTGTTACATAAATGTTGGGGGGAAGGGCCGGCTTTAACACCCTATGGCCTCCCACCCATACACCCCTCATCCACTTTTCATGGAAATCGGTGGAGAAAAGCTGGGAACTTCCAGAATCGCAAGAGAACAGGAAGATAAGCTATAAAACAGGTCCAATTTTTAAAAAGCTGACTCAGAGGCAGACACTTAGGCAAGTCTGTAATAAAATAAAGTCAGAGTCCCAAATGTCTGAGTTCCTACTATACATATGCCACGTACTGTGCTTAGCACTTTGCATAGATTTTTCTCATTTACTCCTCACGAAAGCCCTAAAAATAAGAATTATGATTATTAGCATTTTATCACAGAGGAACTGAGATTGCAAAAGTCAAGTTACTGACCACGACTAGAAAGAGAGGCAAGACTCAAACCCTAGGTCTGATTCTAAAATCTGTATTCTTACCCACTACAGGGACGGTCTCTGTAAGATGCCCTGCCCAAACCACCTTCCCCTGCTACCTGCTCAACTTGCTTCTTTATGCTGAGGGATAATCTGTCCTGAGGGAGCATTTGCATTAGCTAGCATCTTCTGCTGTTGCAGGAGAGCAGTAATGTGAGAAAAAGCTCTCCCAAGTTTCTGAAAATGCCCTTGTTGCCCAGTCTTCACTATTATCACCTCTGACCATTACTGACAGTCAACATGTCACTTATTCTCTTCAATAACAGACAGGATTCTGTTTTCCCAAGGGCTAGAGGTGAAATTATAATTGAGTTTGCTCAAGTCTCTCCTAAATAAAGATACTGCCTAACACGGGAACCCCCAGCAAGCCTTGAAGTTCGATGGCACTTAATGTAATGCAATTCTTAGTCTGGTTACACCTCACCTTGTCAGAGGAGGGACTTAGGCTGCAGACATCAGAGGTAAGGAGACCTATTCTCAGAACCACTTGGAAGCCCAGGTGTTGACCTTGCTCACACTGTCATTCTCCCTCCCTCCATCATCAGCCTGGAGATTCTCAGCATCCAGCATGACATATGTGCTAATACACGGTCTTGGAAGGTCACTGCTATTCTGCAAACTCACATGCAGCTAGAGAGTCATTTCCCAGGAACCAGTTCTAGCTTGGCCCTCAACTACCACCCCTCCCCCAGAAGTCAACCATCACCTGGTAAAGGTCACCCTCCCCTCATTCTTCCCTTCCTTCCTTTTCTTTCCTCTCTCCCACCCCTTCTTCCCTTTTCTCCACTTCCCACCTAATCTCTGGCCTCCTCCCTTTCCTTAGGCTGGCTTCATTATCTCAACTGATGCCTTCCCCACCCCATCAGCTTGCTTACCTGCCCACAGAAAAATGTGGTGTCCCCACTCTGATATCTGGTATGTCATAGAAAAGCCAATCCTTCGGACAAGTGCCCCAGAAACAACAGGGCTGGGGCATGAATGTAATGCCTAAATAGGGCTTGATCACTCAACAAGTAACCTAAATTCATGCTTGGGGCCCCAGGAGAGCAGGGCTGCTAAAATATTTATTTTTGTAAACAATTTTACATATAATGTTTTTTTTAAAAGGATCAAAATAGTCACCATGGGAAAATTTAGAACTTTCTTAGACTTCCTCATACTTTATTTTACAGTTTTGTCTTTTTTCTTTTCATCATAAATTGCAGGGATGCAAGGAATCAGTGAATCAGTGTTCAGGGCATCTCAGACCTTCAGATAAGGCTGCAGAGGAACTGTGGAAATGCAGAAGCATCTGGTCAAGTCGCAATTAACAGAAGCTGTGTCTGTTACCTTTTCCATGCGCTCGATCAGCCTGTCCAGCTCCCCAATTCTCTGGTCTTTCTCTTCCAGGCTGATCTCTGCCACCTGCATCTTTTTATTGGCTTCTTCAATTGCTTTCAGAAAACTATTGGTTTCTTCCTGCAAAAGCAATACACTCTCCTCAGCAGAGCCATGTTTCCCTAGGCTACCAAACCAGGGTCCAAACAGCTCTGGCCTGGCTAAATCACAATGCCTCTTTAAATGCATGGCCCTGGGGCCTAGAAATATCTCACAGATCATGAAATCAACTTCCATGATTCTGGTTCTCAACTGTAAATAAAAACAGGTCGCATGGCTTTTTAGTGGGCCTAGTTCTTTTTTTTTCTTTATTTTCCCCTTGAGTCCTTATGTCTAAAAAGAGCCTGTAAATGTTATTTAGCCCTTGACTAGATGCTCAGAGTGTCACTATATGTGCCAACAATGCAAAGGGGATTAAGGCCAGATCTGGATTTGAATGCAGAATGCCCAAATCTTTCTCCCTTATTGCAAAGCACAAACTCAGGCAATCACTCAGCACATTTATTACGCCTGTAAGAAGATAAGTCAGACATAGAGTCCCTACCTTCAAGGAACTTATGCTCTCCTAGAGAAGCCAAGATGTGAGACATACAGCCCACTCTAAAAACAAGCACAACAGAAGGCCGCAGCAGAGAGCAGAGAGAGCGTAGGCTTCAAGGGCAGGAAAACTTCTAGCTATGTGAATGGGAGAGAACTCTTTCATGGAGGGGGTGGCATTTTCGAAGCTTTTAGGGAGCTTAGGTAAGATCAAGAACTAGGAAGAAGGAAATTTCAGGTAGAGAGAGCAAGTGGAATGACGAAGGACCCAGCTGCAGGTAAGCCCAGGATCTGCTTGGATGTTGGCAAATGGTCAGATTAGCTAGAGAAAGAGGTGTGTTTAGACCTAGAGATTGGGGACTATCCAAGAGAGGGGAATGAATAAAGGAAAGGAGAGAGAAGGGAAGAAAGTAAATGAGCAAATAATAAATTCCTTGACCCCTCACCAGTGAGAGTCCACTAACTCACTTCCAGGCCGAAACCCCATTTAACTCTCACCAACAATAATGAACCAAAAACTCTGTTATTTTATCGGCAGCATGGCAGACTTACCAGGAGAGCCTCTTTCTCAGCACTGTGCTTCTGCTGCTCTTCATGCAGCTTTTCTTCGTACTGGCTATACAGCTTCTTGGTCATCTCTCTCATCACTTCAGCATTGGCTTCTTGGGAGGACTCTACCTGCAAAAAGACTCATTTCAGAGGGATGGCTTTCCAGGTTATCAGCCCCTTTTGCTCTGTCTGTATCCTGTGTAGACACACAGAGGAGTAAACCCATGTACCAGGGCTCTGCCATAGACAGAGGCAGCAGGAACTGATGGGGAAGAGAAGATGAAAGGAAAAGGGTGAACAGGTGCACAGAAAATAAAAAGTGGCACTTTTTCTAATCTATTTGATTTTATCAGGAAAAGGTGTTCCACATGAGTAAATTTTTCAAAAAGTAGAAACTTACCTGAGTATCAACCCCACCCCACCCCAAAGTTAGCCATTTTTAAATTGAATTCTCTCTAAAAATATGACTCTGTGCCACTGACTTATTAACCCCTTTTTTCAATGACTTTCCCTGTCTAATATTCCTTTTGATCCTGAAACTTTTACTATTTTTTATTCTATCAATTTTAATAAATTTTTTTCTCTGGATAATAGGTCTGTATCCTTATTGGCCCCAGAAAGATACGTTTTGTTTTGTTTTCTAATCCTGAATATTCTGTTGTGGGCTGAGAAATAAGATCACTACATTATTAGAATTGGGTCGGAGTATAATAAACTATAATGTTAAAAAAATAAAAAGGTTATCTGTAGGAGGAAGGAGGGATTAAGAGAGGAAAAGGGATATTACAGATATAAATATTCTATTTCTTAATATACTTTTTTATAGCATTGATTTTGAAGACAAGTAAATAATTTACCTGTTAGAAAAAATTAAACTTCAAAATATTATTTATCAAACCCGCTCAATGGGAAAAGAACAGTCTTTTCAACAAATGGTGCTAAGACAACTGAATAGCTGCACGCAAACAAGTGAAACTGGATCCCTAATATACCATATATAAAAGTTAACTCAAAATGGATCGAAAGCTTAAATATAAAAGCTGAAACTACAAAATTCTTAGAAGACAACATAAGGTAAACCTCTGTGACCTCGGATTAGGCAATGGCTTCTTAGATATGATACCAAAAGCACAAATGACAAAAAAATGAGTTAGACTTCATTAATATTCAATATTAAAAACTCCCGTGCTTCAAAGGGTACCAATAAAAAAGTGTTGGGAGAAAATATTTAAGAGAATAGGAGAAAATATTTGCAAATCACATATCTAATTTCTTTGTATCCAGAATATAAAAAAAAAATTTTATGACTCTGATAAAATATGAATAACCCAATTAAAAAGTGGCAAAGGATCTGACAGACACTCCAAAGACATACAAATGACCTATAAGCACAAGAAATGATGCTCGACATCACTTGTTATTAGGGAAATGCAAACCCAAAAGGAGATACTAGGATGATTATTATCAATAAAATAGTAACAGTGTTGGTGAGAATGTGGAGAAATTAAAACACTGACTAAAGAGAATGTAAAATGGTGCAGGCATATCTCTAGATGACCTCTCATATTGTTTGACTTTTTCCCCCCATATGCATACATTATTTTTAAATTTTTTTTCCTATATCAGAAAATTGGGGAGGCCTTTGAAGAGAAGTTGTCCACGTGGAGTTGAAGCTGTTCCACTGGTTGTGCTGGCCAATCACTCACTAGGGAAGACTGAAGCTCATATAAGCAATCTGGACTCACCCTGTCCATGCCTTTGTGCTTTCCAAAATGTTGCATGTGGAAACATTCTCACCTGGTTTAGACAGCACTAAACTAGGGGCTCCTAGTGGCTTGGGCAGACCCAGCTTAGGAGATGAGAAAAAATCAGCCAAGTTGTGAGCAGAGAGGGCTTAGAGTGGAGGTGGCCGGTATTTCCTTTCTGCCCAGGCCCTGTCCTTGCCTATGATCTTCATGTCATTGATTTTATGTTGTGGAAGGTTTGTGTCCCTTCCTGCCAGCTTATTGTTTGTTCCAGAAAGCTGAGCCTGCTGGATATATAACTTCTGGATAAGTAAAGTATATTCCAACCTCAATAGGTTACATGTTGTTTACTTTAAAGATGTCCTCTAATTCTCCCTTCTCATTACTGGCCAAGTTTTGATAACCATGAAGCCAAAAATGAAAAATACTGAACAGAGATTATCATCAGCTGAGACCCAAAGCATCCTGTACTCCGTTTCCACTGCAAACACAGACTTCTAGAAAGGGCTCTGAACTCTGATTCCTGTTTGCTCTTTATTCAGCTCATGTGAAACACTGAGTCCTATATCTTTTTATTTGGAAGGTAAAGTAAAGCATTAGTCCCTAAAACAGGCAACTATAGGCTGGATTTAGGAGCTTGGTCTCCTTAGAAGCAGCCAGACGGTCTGCCACACTGCCTAATGATGTCCCCAGATGCCTGATGCCACATAACCTCTGGAACAAACAGGAATGTCCAGGACGGACACATACAGTAGACACTCAATACATATTTGTGGAGTAAATGATAGGATAAAGATTCTAAGCTGAATAAAAGACTTAAAACACCAATTTCAGACTTTCTCAGCAACACATCTCTTTTTTTCAAAGTAACTCTCACTCGGAAATACAAAATATGAAACAATAAAGAGAAGAGCTGCCCTATTTGATGTGAAAGCAAAGAGGAGCTGATTACTCTAGCTAGAGCTCTCAGGCCCCCCTTCCCGCCTGCGGGAAACTGTGTTTGGCCAAGCGGACCGTGATGGCACAACCCCATGGGGCGGTAATCACGTAGACTACGTAGTGCAGTGTGGCAGCCTCTCCTCCCCATCAGAGGCAGCCCACAGGCAGAGGGACCACATGTCCCCATCTGTTCCCCTAACTAAATTCTCAATAGCACCACCATTCACTCCCAAGTATATTCTGGTTTGAGCAGAATATCTGGATGTTCTACCCACACAGTACTCTCCTCTAGTATAGCCCTAAGGCTGTGCTGAACATGATTTGAAAACCAGAGTTTTAAATAAAAATAAATTCATTCAGGAAATAATTTGTCGAGTGCCTTCTATGAGCTAGCTATTTGTGGGTCTGTTCCTGCCACAGGGTTGAAAATCTATCCATGTTTCGAATTTGAGAGGAGCATCAATTCTTCTAGCCATGAAATAAGCATAGCCTGGTGGGCAAGAGGGACATTGCCAAGAGTCCTTGGTCACCCATCAATTTCTTTCTGAGTGCTCTTCAGCTCTTTATTGTCAAACCAGACAGAAAGGCCTTGGGACTCAAGAGAAAATCTAAACTGTGAAGTCCCAGACCTGTGGGCATCCCAAGTGCCTCTCAGTACGTTAACAGCAGTGTCGTGATGACCGTCTCAGCAGCCCCTGAGGCCACTGGGGCCAAAGCAGGAGTGCCCAATGAGAGCACCCCACATACAGGCCACCCCCAATCTGAACTGATGGCTGTGGACACGGAAACTTCCTCAGTGCCTTCACACCAAACCCTGCAGGGTTTGCCACAAAAGAGTGGAGAATTCCAACTATGAGGACAACAGAGAAAAGGAAATAGAAGAATTGAAAATGGGAGGAGAAAGAGCAGGAAAGAAGAGAAAAGGTCAGGAGAGAGTCTACATGTGTGCCCATAGTTACCTTCATCTTCAGCAGCTGGTTTTCAACTTGTGCTACCTCCAGCTGCCTCTGTTTTTCCCGCAGCTTTTCCATGGATGCTTCATATGTCTGCTGCAAGTTTCTGATCTGATCCTTAATGTCGCTATTTTCCAAAGTAATATCCACAAGCGTTTTCTAGTGGGGTGCAAATAAAAACAAAATCAGATCTAGTGGTGTGAGAAAACATTGCCAGAGTCATGCACCAGGACATCCCTTTGTCATTAGCCACTGAGGAAGCTGTCAGGCCACAAGAGCGGCTAGCCCGGGACCCTGGTGAGTGAGGGACTGAGGACTCCCATGTTGGTGAAGAAGCCTACTGCCCTGCAGTCACGAGGGCCCAGGGTGTCTCCATAACACTCCACAGCTGCTGCCAATACCACCTGCCACTGCTTAGAATGGACGGAAATGGATTAAAACGAAGTTTTTCCAAGGAAAAGTTTTTATAATACATCATTTCACATGGGGAAAAAAATGGGTTTGAAAATAGTAATTATAGAATAATCTCATTTTGAAAAGAAAGTATAGCATTTGTTCAAATGTGTTTATACAAGGAAAATTTTAAAAGACTAGTAATAAATTCATCAAAATCCAAATAATAGTTTTCCCTACGTGATAGAATTATGGATGACATTTATTTTTCTCTTTGTGTTTTCTATATTTTCCAAATTCCCACAGTGAAAACAGAAAACAAAATGTGTGTTTTGTAAAATGGAGATGTTCTCCTTTTTTTCCTTATAGGGGCTGTCACTTCTGTACTTCTAGACTGCCTGCCACATGGTTACTGTGATGCCTGCAAATGCGTCATCTTCCTCCCTTAGGCAGAAAAGGGTGGCTGATGAAGGAATACCAGGGTGTAACAGAGTTTGGTGACTCAGATAAGTGCCTGACAAGTGTCAAAACCCTGGTGATTACTGTTCCAGGCCACCCACCGGAGCAAGAATGTTTAAATTAGTATTGCTGCTATTTAATGCTTCGGGTTCTACTTGGTTAACCCTTGTCACAGAGAAACGGCTTCCAGAATCCAGAATTCCTACTACTGGACACTGGGCACCTTCTACCACCTCCCCAAGTCATCTAAAACTTTAAAACAAGAAGATCTGAAGACTCCGATGTCAAACATACTTCCTGGCACCTTTTTCCTTTTTGCAGATGATCAGTCTCTGAAGCTTCCTCAACTCCTTAGCCTCCCTCCATTTCGGATAAACAGCCTCATTCCTTAACTTACTTGAATTAGAGAAAGCATTTTCAATGGTGGTAAATATGGAAGCCAATCAGAAACATGGAATCACAGAACGCTGAAGCTATGAGGGGCTGGAGAAACCACCTGGGCCAACCAGCCACTCTCTAAGCCCCACCGGCTTTACAGATACTACTCTTATGCGTGTGCACCTACATCTGGACTAAAGACATCACGGTTCTAGTCCAGTATCTGCCAATAGCTAGAAGCCTTGTTAAAGTCATTTCCCTCTGTTGGCCTCAATTTGTTTATCCACAAAACAAGAGGGTTGGAGATCATCTCAATAGTTGTTTCCAGCTCGGACATTCTATGAAATAGAACCAAGGGTCTTGTCTCGCTGTCAATAATAATGAAAACAGGGTAGAATGGATGATGGAAGGGGTTGGGGCCTTGCAGAAATCTTCAGACTCCAGTTGAGTTTCCTGGCTGTGAGATGGTGACTTTCTTTCCTCCCTTTTGTCCTCCTATTGTACTCCCCCCTTCCTCCTGTTTCTCTCCTTCTCCTTCTTTTTAACAATGGTTTTTAATCTTTTCATTATAAGGCTCCTCTGTGTGCCCTGGACTAAGAGACTAGACCACAATTAGGAATCAGTCGGGGCACCTAGGTTATGGTTGACCCTGTTCTAACAGCTGACCTCTGAAGTAAATGTCAATGGGATGGCAAATCAGAAATATCACAGGTGAGAAAATCCAGGAACTTAGTACAGATACCAACCAGGTCTGAACTCACGTGAGAGACAGCATCTCCTGGTTGGCCGGGAGTGAGATGTCCAAGAGCGAAGGGAAGGGATCCTTGGGGAGCCACCCTGATGCCAGGGGTCCGGGAAAACAAAGGCTACTGAACAAATCAGACCCAAAGCAGAGCTTGGCCTGAAGCCATGGGAAAACTGGCATGCTCTATGGAGAGCCAGGAAAAGGGTGGAACACAGTGGCCCCACCAGAAATGGGCGTCCCAGACAAATCCAAACAAGGGGCCCACCCAGGCCTACAGTGAAACAGTGACCTAGCTTTGTGGCACGGCTGCCACAACAGTTGTTACTAAAGAATATTAGGTTCCAGGGGAAGTGGATAATCCTAACATGAAAATTTGTTTGCTTCTCCGATATATTATTTATATAGAACCAGAAAGGATATGAAATAGCTAGTGGAATTTTTAAGAGGGGGGTAAAAAGATAAGGGCCAAATAAAGTTGGAGGATGGACGGAAACTATTGCTCGCATATTTACGAACTAAAGTTAAGGGATGCTGTTTCAGGTGAAAATAATGCTTTGCTTTGAACATTTTCAAAGTAATGTTAGGTAGGGGGGCTCAGGTGGAAGAGTAACCATGGGCAGCATCTGAGGGGTCAACTTCTAGCAAATCAAATTAATCAACAGAGCAAGCCCCTTAAAGTGGGTTGACAACACACATTCACTCAAATGTAGGATCCTGAGGCTTTCTCCTTCCCTGACTGGTATTACAAGAGACTCCTTAAAATGCACATGATTTCTTTTAATGCAAAACAGTTTCTAAAGTAGGAAAAAGTGCTTAACTGCTTTTGGGAGTTACCTGCCATGAATGAATACAGATTGCCTTTGATTAAGTCTGTCTTTTCTGTGATTGGATAGAACTCCCTGTAACACAGGAGACACCAGGAGGTGGGGGCTGATGTGCTGTGTTAGGCACTGACATTTAAGACCAGTTGGGTATCTAGTGGAACAAATGACATCTCTAGCACAGAACTCAGGATCTAAACCCCCATTTTAACGAGGGCAAAAACAACTGCCACGCAGTTGGAGTCTCAGCTTGGAAGCCCTTCCTTACACTTCTTTCATAGCCTTCACTGTGGCCATGCTTAAAGGGTTCTGAGTAATGAGCCAAGGACATTCTGTGAGGGCACCCGATCTAACAGTGAATAGGAGAGAATACCTGTAGGTCAATAGAGTCTGACGCCAAAGCCGAGTTCATGGCATTAAAACTGTCCAGGGCTGACGACTGTGCTTGGATGTGATTCTCCAGATAGTCCTGCTGGGCATGTGAAACCTGGACAGATTGAGAGGACAGTTACACAAAACCGATCCACATATACCCACACTAATCTCTGGTTAGGCTGAAACTTCCTCCTGATAGTAGCCCATCCACTTCAACGTTATTTCAAGTACAGCTTTAAATTAAAAAGTCAACATCTGCATGACCCAGAGAGCAGAAAGACAGGAATACTTTTCCTTTGTATAGTTTTTACACATTCGCCTACCAGGCTTTATTTATTCCTCACGACAACACTATGTGGCAGCCAGACACTCCCCTTTATAGGAAGGAAATAGAATCAGAGAAGGTAAAGGATTTGCACGCACAAAGCTAAGAAGGGGCACAGCTGGAACTAGAACTCAGTTGGAATATCTTCTTGTGCCTCTTGCTCATTCTACTCACCACAGAAAGAATACACTTCGGGCTCACCCAATTCTCAAGAGTTGCTTTGTGGTGATTGCTGCTGTTGTGTTGTTTTGTTGTGTGTCTGTGTTTGAGAGAGTTCATTGGAGGCCAATCTTAAGCTAAACCTGAATATAGGTCTAGCTGGATATAGAGAGGCAGAGAGGCAGCAGAGTTCGGGGAAGGGTTCTGGGCAGGCTCAAAGGCAGACCCCTGTGGGAGCCCTAGAAAGCAGCCTGGCATGACAGAGCAGGCGGTGCACTCTGAGGATAGAAGAGAGAATTGAAACAGCAGGCCAGGACCCAGAGCAGGTGGTATGTTCTTGTTCCGGGTTGTGTTCATATAGCAGTAATTTAGCAATCAATCTGTGGTGTGGCCTGGAGGAGGAGGATGCTGTAGGCAGAGAGACGGAGCTCCTGTGACAGCTCTCACACAAGAAAACAAGGGTGTGCAGAGACTTGTTTATGCGTCTTTTGCCAATCCAATCCTTTGACATTAATTACAGTTGTTAGTGTCTGTCAGTGGATAGCAGAGTGATTTCCATAAGTAGGTGAGAATTTTACAAATCTCTTCCTACATGCCAGTGAGAATGGGCAAGGGATATGTTTACAAACCCCTGCCCCTAAATTGAGGCAGTAGGTCATCAATTAAGCAGATAATCTCATAGCCAAGACAAAAAGTAAACTCTAATACATGACTGTTTTAACTGTGCGATTCTTTCCTGCCATTATTAACTTTTATGGAGAGTATGTCATATATACAGGGACTTTTATGGAGACGATGTCATATATACAGGGAATTTCTTCAAAATTATTACTCAGAAATGTTTTAATTTTTTTTTCTCACAAGCATTAGCTTGTTTAAACCAGAGAAAGGTTGTTTTTTTCTTAAATTTTTAAGTAAGTAATATATTCATATAGTTCAAACATTTAGGTACACACAAAAATAAATCTCCCTTTCACTCCTATCCCATCTGCTCAGTTACCACCTTGCCCACTCTGCCCCTCAATTAAGAATTACTGTTTATTTCTTTCCTGAGTATCCTTCCAGCAACTTTTTGTGCACAAACAAAACAATCTAGATATATTTATTCTCCCTTCCTGTTTTATATAAGTAGTAGCACATTATAGATATCTTCTCGCATCTTGCTTTTTCAACAGGTATAGTCTTTGCAATCTTTCTGTATCTCTCTTTGAAAAGCTTACTCACTCTTTTTTATTTAATTATTTTTTTACAATTCTATGTATTCTATTGCAGAAATATAATTTATTTTACTTTCCCCTTCTTAATGGACATTTAGGTTTCCAATCATTTTACAATCATAAACAATGCTGCAATAACTAAGTTCATACATGTCATTTCACATATGTGATAGTTTACCTATAGAATAAATTCTTCGAAATAGAATTACTGGGTCAAAGGATATAAGCATTTGGAATTTGGGAAGATAGTACCAAATTGCTCTCCCTAAGAGTAATGCAAAATTACACCCCAACCAGTCAGCTGCCTGTTTCTCCACAGCACTGCTAATAGAGTGTCTTGTCCCACTCATGAAGTTTTGGCCAGTCTACTAGATTAAAATTACATCTCAGAATGGTTTTAATCTGAATTTCTCTTATTGAGAATGAGGCAGAGCATCTTGTCATGCAATTAAGAGCTCTTAATCTTTCCTGTAGTATTAATTATCTGTAACAAATATTTGCCTATTTATGAGTAGTAGCCTTTTTCTTCTTGATTCATGGGCACTCTTTAAATACTCAGAAAATCATCTTATTATCTATGACATGAAGGGCAAATACTTTTTCCCAGTCTGTCATTTGACTTTGACTTTGGTGTTTTTGACAGCACGAGTTTTTCATTTTAATGTGGGCAGTTACCAACCTTTTCTTTTGTAGATTTGGGATTACATGTCATAGTAGTAAAAGGGTTTTCTCACTCCAAGAGTACAAAAGAATTCACATACGTTTTCTTCTGGCACTTTTAAGTTTCATTTTTAGCATTTAAGTCTTCGATCTATTTGGAATTTGTTCAGTTATAAGTTTGACTCAACAGCATATAAGTTGTCTAAACAGCACATATTGACTGGTCCATTTTCCTTCCTTTATATGAAATAATACATTTGTCATACACTGGAGTATATTTCTTGCTTTTTCATTAATGTCATTTAATTAATGTCATTAATTTATGTGCTAATACTACACTGTTTTTTTAATCTCTGAGGCTTTTTCAGTTTCTTGTAACTAACAGGGCTAGTTTCTCTCACTGTTTTTTTTCCTCAGAATTTCCCCAACTCTTTATATTTATTTTCCATATACCTTGAAATCATCTAGTCCAGTTGCAGAAAAACAACATAAAATAAAAATGTTGATATTTTGGGGTTTTATTAAATTTGTATATTCACTTGATAGCATTGACATCTTATGTTGAACCTTCCTTTCTAAGCACATGGTATGTCTTTCTACTTGTTACAGTTTACTCCTAAATATTCGTTAATTTTTTGTTGCTATTATTTCTTCTAACTGGTTTTGTTTTTTGTTTTTGTTTGTTTTTGTTAATTTTTTGTATATTGAGCCTCTTTGTATCCATTAATTTTTTACCCTGCTACTTTACAGAATTCTTTTATTGCTTATAGTAGGTTTTTTTTTCATTGGTTCACTTGGGCTTTCTGGGTATATAATCATATAGTTTACAAATAGTGATAGCTTTACATCTACCTGTCCAGTTTTTATATCTCTAAAGTTATTTCTCTTGTTTAATTCCATCAGCTAGTATCCCAGATATAATGTTAAATAATAATAGGGATAGCTTGTTCCAGACTTTGGAGGGAATGCTTTGAATATAAGGAAGAGCATTCTTATCACCAAAAAAAAAAAAATCTTTTAAAAAATAAACTTTATGATAAAATTCCCTAGGTTCATTTAAAATATGATTCCATTCATAATGAACATCAATAAACTCAGGTATCTTCAGATGCTAGCCACTCAGGAGAGGTTCTAAGCTCTACCATCACTCCATATTTCCAAGTCACTGAAATATTGACTTACAGACAGTTCCTGGGTGATTTGTTGAATCTTCTGTCTCATTTCATCATAGTCGCCATACATTCGCTTCCTTACTTTTTCCAGAGTGGCTCTTACCTGCATCCCACAAAGATGCTAGTTAAAGATCAAGCTATAACATTTTCATGCAAGATTTCCAAATCTTTTAAGAAACTCTAATGAGAAAAGGGCCCCACAAAAAAAAAAAAATCTTAAGAACATGAAAATTTGGGAAAATGAGGGATAAGATCACTACCGATTTCTAGTTAAAAACCAAGGAAATTCTATTAAGAATAATAAACATATTGTGACTATATATAACTATAATTATTAAGAAACATTATAATTATTAATAAATATTGATTATCCAAATAATAAACTATGAAGAAAAATGTTTTGTTGAAATTCACCCATGACCTTCAAAACTACATTTGGGCAAAGTTTGCCTGTATCACACATTTTTACGAGGAGAAAAATATTAACAAATTGATTTCAAACATGTGGGCTAAGAGGATTAGAAAACCAAAAAGCAAAGCAATCTGTAATTTCCCTATCTCTGCTCTGACTGCCAAAGAGCAATTAAACGTCTGGAATATAATGCAGGGAAGTACAAGCCCTGGAGAGCCCATAAATTTGGAAGTCAGTTAATCAACAATCACCAATAATACACAAGGCACACGATACAATAAAAGTCAAGGTGACCCCCAAAACAACACTATTTACAAAAACACTATTTAAGATTCTCTATAGTAGTATCTCCAGAGGAGTCACAAGGTCTTAATTTTTTTTTTTAATAAAAAAATCTTACAAATAGTTCCTGTCTCCTCCCTTCTTCTGGTGCCCCTAGGAGGGACAAAAGCTCAGGGAGCCTCAGCTAGAAGAGGAGGTCTCACAGGCGCCCCCTCCAGGGAGGCTCCAGAACTTCTATTACAGGAAGGGCTCAAAGGCAGCAGTTTGGTTAGAATGACCTGTAGGGGACAGCATGGGGGGAATTGACCTTGAAGCTGTATTTACAGAGTTAGCATATATTAAATTAGACTTTAAAATAGACGTGTTTATTAGGGGTAACCAGATATTGGTGAAGATTTTGGCAGGGGTGGGGGAGAGTTAAGACTCTAAGCCTTCGCCTGATGGAATTCTAATAATAGAATTATTAGAATTGCCATTAGCTACAAACGTTTTGGGAAAACAAGGCCAAAAGCACAATTTTTCATTCTGGGCAGGCAGAATGGCTCTCATCCGTGGCCCCGAGATGGCTCTCATGCTGCTCACCAGTGGGGAGTAGGTGGGATCTTGAGCTGGGGGTGGCAAAATTGCAGGAAGCCAGCTGGGCCAGAATCTCTCAGAGTGAGAGAGGACAAACAATCCCATAAACATGCTTAAGAATGAACAGATCAAGGATGGATTTGAAACTAGCTACAGAAGATGGGACTTGGAAATTAATTATAAGTTGCAGAGCACGTAGATGTTGGCAATTCTTGTCAGAACCACCCCTGTAACCAAGGTTTATGTAATCCTGGTTCGCAACTGGCCTGAACCTGCTGTCATTGTCTTGGGAGATTTGTGACTCTCCACTCTGCTTAGAAAGTTTACCTCTAAAGCAGTGCCATGTTACCTGGGGCATTTAAAGGAGGAAGGACTAAGTATTTCCATGAGAAAAATACAGGGGACTAGAAATGTCCAAGCTGCTCCTATACATGAAAAATAAGAATGGCTAAAAACTATATTTAGGAGTTAGGATGACTGGGGACTTGAGGCTGGTGGTTGTCACACATACCCTGTGCGTTCGTGTACGTTTACCTTTTTTGGCTTTGCTTCATTTTCTCTGTTAAGCATTTATTATTATTAATTTTAATCAAGACAAGATTATTTTTTATTCCTTATAATTATACAAGTATCCAAAACTTTCAAGACATATTAAAGAAGGTGCCCAGATATTTATTATTTTTGATATTTGTTCTTTTCAAATACCCACACAAAAGCTAACAACATGACTGTGATTTATCTGCAACCCACTAAATAAAATGGGGTACACAGAGCTGAAGGTTTGACTTTAGGGATCCCTTATCAGCCCCATAATCTATACATGAGAAAACTGAAACCCAAAATGGGCAAAAGTTTTGCTGGGCCAAACAGAGAGTTGGACTTTGAACCAAGGTCCATGGGGCACTCCACTGCCCCCGCCACCCACGAGCACCTTCTAGTCCACAGGTCAGGGTTTGGGGACCATCAGTGTCAGAGCAGCTCATTTTCTCTATGTATGTAATCACTCTGAGTTGGTCAACAGAGGCATTGGTCAATCTACAGAGATCAAAAGAACCAAAAAGGAATGAAGATAGACAATAGATAGATGACAGACAGATTAAAAGAAATTAAAAATTTAGAAGAAAAAGCTCCAAAATGCTAACATCTGCTCTCACTGAATGGTGGAATCATGGGTAACTTCGTTTTCTTCTCTGTACATTTTTGTATTTTCCAAAATTTCTCAAAAGAACATGAGTTTAAAAGATAAGAAATACAATATTAAATACAAAGAAATGACACTGATTGGTCTGAGTTGAATAACGACTATTATAGTTAACTTTTCGGCATCTGTTTCAACCCAAGTGATTGGTCTGAACCACCCACGATCATCCCACTCCCCTTACCAGTGATGGGTCTGGGGATGGGCATGGGACCCAGTACTGGCCAGTGAGACATAAAGAGAAGCCTAATGGAAAGCCTCTAAAAATTAACCAGAGATAAGTGGCCTCTTTTCTTCCTCCAGACCCTGTCATGTTTTCAGACAATGCTATGAGCCTGAGGCTGAAGGAGGAAAGAACCAGGGGAAACTCAGAGAAAAGGACTGGCACCTGGATGTGCTATGCTTGGAGCCCACCTACCCCGAGACTATCCCACATGAAACAAATTTCCTTTTTGAGTTGGCTTTTCTGTTATCTGTAGCCAAAAGCACCCAAATGTGTACAGTTGTCCAAACTCATGCATTAGGAGTGTCCGATATAATAAGCAAAACCACGTAAGAGCTGCCATATCATACATAGAAGAAGAAAGCCTGAGCATTCTTACTTAGTAACATCCAAAAGCTCACTCTATACCTCATTGCAGAATTACACCTATACTTTTAACATTACCGTAAAGATATGTAGAAACATTTCCATCCAAAATGATAATGCTAAGAATTCTTCCAAAATGCCTTGTTACGTTTACATCAATACTTCCAACTCCACCCTATCACATGCTACAGAAAGAGTATAAACCAGAAATAAAAAATCCTTAAATGACTCACATCTTTGATGTAGTTCATCTCTTCTTTCAGCTGATTGGTGGACCACCCATACACCACCATTTCTTTCTGCTGATTTTGATCTGATCTTCGCACCACACCGTAAACAACCCCTTGCGGAAGTTTCCTGGTTGGTTCTCCATTGCTTGGATCAGGATGCTAAAAGAGGGTAGGAATAGAGAAAAAACAATGACTCTTTAGGGCAACTGAAAAAAGCTGTAATTGCAGGCCCACTGCATGTGGTCATGCAGGTTGCGCCCAGCTCTGAGGTGCCTGGAAGCAGTGAGAGAGGCCGGCAGAAATCCAGTCTGGCCTCTGCTCACCATGTTGCATCTGGCCTGGGCAGAGCCTGCCTTTTCCCTGGAGGAAGAGCACCTTTTTCTAATTTCTACCACAGCTCTGTCCACCCACCGAGCAGTGCATGTGCAGGGCCTCACCTTCCCAGAGGGGGCGCCTTTTTCTAATTCTCACAATGGTGCCAGATAGACTTGGGTTGTCCCCAAAACAAGAGCAAATGTCTGAACTCTGACAGCCTTGGTAATTCTGCTTTTCCCCTTATGTCGGTTCCTCTGTATGCCTTCAACCTCACCACTAAATATGTGGCCTGAAATGCATGTGGTTGAGATATTCAGAAGAAGATGGTGGCTGCCACCTAGCAGCCAAATTGTCCTCTGAGGTCAGGACAGATCCTGGGGTCAGCTCTGAGAAAAAGGAGGTGGAGTGAGCATACGACCTGTCATGAGCGTTCATGAAATAGTTCTGAAAACCAGGCAGAGAGGTATGACTTCACTCCAAAAGAATCTTCCTGCTTCTTAATTCCTTCAGTTAAAGCTTTGGTCAGTGTTGAAATGTGAAAAACCTTGGGAAGAGGTAGTATGTCCAAGTCCTAACATACTTTTCTAGAACAAAAGCTCAAGAGGCAGGAGAAAGGGAAATTAAGACTTATTGAGTACATACTATAAGCTAGAAATGTTCTCTGTGACATAGTGATGGTCCTCTCCACTTGATAGATGGGCAAACTGAAGTGTAGAGAAGTTAAATAACTTGCTTATAGTCACACATCTAGATTCGAGCCCAATTTTGTCTGACACTAAGTATACTTCCCCACACTGCAGGCTCTGTTAGAGGTAGAGGGACAGTATAGGGGCCTCTCCAACAACAAAGGGAAGGGGCAAGGAAAAGAATCAAGACCAGGAACTAAGATTCATAGACAAACTAGCCTCTGCCCAGTTTTTCCTGGGGTTGATCCTAGTACCTCAACAACCACAGTACAGAATCCTGAATTCCATAATGGCAACTCTGCTTTTTCGCTAATTTTTAAAGCACCATTGCATAAATTCTTCCCGTGTACTCACAAGATATTTTTTGACATACGAAACTGTAATTTGCATTTTAAAATCACTCGTTTGTAAAGGAATAATGAACGCTTCATGATCCCATTCCAAGTTTGTAAAATAAAGGAATTCTAGAAAGATACATGACAAACAGTGAGGACCTCTAAGGAAAGGACAGCAGAGTGGGGCAGGGGTGCTAAAGATCAGGATAACTTTCAATCTTTTCTTTATACCCTTTTGTATTGTTTGTTTACAATGTGAGCTTTCTAAAAAAAAAAAAAAAAAAGAACACATTCATTCATGATTCCCTGCCCTTCTGCACATACTTAGGGAGAAATGGGATATGAGAGGCTGTGACACTCTGCCTTTGCTTCCAGAAAATGCTTCCACTTGAGTCTCTCACACTCGGGTCCCACAGGCACTGAATGCAACGCTTGAAATTTGTACGTAAGTTGAAGTAAATGGGCTGTTAAATAGCTCTCAGTGTAGTGACAAGCTGGGATTAGACATCCCTGGGTTTATGAGGCATATAATTAGGAAGAGGAAAAGCTCTATGAAACTCCCCCTATTCCAAGAAACAAAAGCATGCTCTTTCAGTCACAGGCTCCACCTAGTTCCTGCAAAACAAGCTGATGACAACATAAGGCTTTGATGAAATGCATTTTTGCAAAGCAAAGGCTTTCGCAGGTGGATTGGCTTGCAGGAAAACGCTCAGGTGGCGGGATACAGAGGACTCTGCCTCCCTGCCCTCATTGGGAAATAGGGACCACCACCCATGGAGGAAAACGCAAACAAAGCCAAGGACAACAAGGCCTGTGAAACACTACTCTAGAGGTTGTGGATCTAAGTTATGCACAAAGAAGACACTGAAGATTCATTAAGTGAAAAGTACTGATTTTCATATCCCCAATTTTTGTTTTAAAAATGCGTGTTTGTGTGTTTATAACATTGAAAAAAGTGGAATCCAAACCGTTAGTGCCAGATTCCTCAGTAAAATGGAATTTTACTTTTTCCTTTATACTCCTTTGTACTGATTTTTTTTTTTTTTTGCCAAAAAGAAAAGACATTATTTTTGAATTAATAATTTTTAATTTCCAAAGAACTAAAACTATTACAAAGTCAGGTTCTAAATGAAAGATCCGCAGGGAAGGGCCCAGCACAGGGCCACCAGTGTGGGCCATTCCACAAGGAGAGGATGCCTGAGGTAGCACAAGGGGCTGCTGGGCGGTGACCGAGAAAGGGAAGGGACATTTATGAAGGAGAAGGGGGAAAACATTTGTCATCTAGCCACTTTATCATACAACATTTTCTTCAATCCTCACAATAATCCTACTGTGTTAATATGACTAGTTCTTCCAAGGTGGCAGCATTCAAGTGTCTGTCTACATCTTGCCAAAAGTAAGCTCTTTCCTTGACCACAATGCCTACAAAATAACTACGAGTCAGGAGAGGATGAGAACTCACCTCTTCCTGGGACCCTGGGACCTCAGGGTCCCAGGCCATCGGGAAGTGGTGGGCTCAGGATGGGGCATAGTCTCTTCTGGCCTCTTGTGATCCCTCTCCCACTTAGCCTCCACTCCATTCCAGCCTCTCTGCCTCTTTTCTTTTCCTTTATCAGCCAACCTCTCTCTTAGCTCGGGGCATTTACTCAGGCTATTCTCTCTGCCTGCAGGGCCCAGTGATTCACATGCAATGAGTTTCTCAATAAATATTTGCTGAATGAATATGGAACTTTAGAAGTTGGAAGAGGTTCTGGGAACTACCCAGAATATGTAAATAGAGTCCAAGGAAGGGGACATCCTTCGTTCTTCATAGATGGAGGAACAGGGAGCTGATGCTTTTGGTCCGGTGATAAATCTGATATCCAGAAAAGCTGCAAAGGAGTTGAGACAACTTTTATTTTCACAGCATCAGTATGCTTTTGGTCAAAAACTGAAGAACATAGACAAAAAATGAAAAGAGTTGGTACTTTTGTCACCGTGTGGCTGAATTTTTCTCCACTCATATCCTTAAAATAGCTCCCTTTAAGATAAATATTAACTTTTTAAGCATGATAATAGCATTGTGATTATAGCAGGAGATAGTCTTTATCTTTTAGAGAAATGGGCTCAAATATTTATGACATCTCAGGGTGGAGGAAGTAGATGGGGTGTAGACAGGGCAGGACTGATCGTGGGTCAAGGGTTGCTGGGGCTGGGTGAAGGGTCAATGATCCCTTCCACACTTCAGTCTCCTTTTGTATAGGTCTGAAATTCTCCATAATTATATTTTTAAAAATTTCTTTATAATGCTACTTAGTATTTTAAAAAATCAAATTTTAAAAAAATGTACACTAAGCCTACTAAAAGCCTCCTGGCCATGAAGCAACACGAGGTAAAATAATCCTGTGAATAAAAGCCCTAATAAATGCAAGGAATGAAAAGAAAGTTACTGCTGAAAAGGGAAGAGAAACAACCAATAGAAAGGCCATCGGAAGCCCTGCATGAAATGCAGCAGAATTAACAGCGGGCAGAATCAGTAAAACAGAATCTCTTCATTAAACTGTTCCCTGGAATGTACTCCTGGCTTAAAATTTACTTACAGGCTCATGCTATGGCTGTTTTCCCTAAAGATATCTATAGCGGCCCATGCCTTAGAAGGAAGGAGAAACTACAGAAAAGTAACTCAGCCTAAATTCTTGCTGTAAGAGCCTTAATGAGGCCAGTGACAGGTGACCATATTCTACAAACCAAAATATATAATTTTACAATGAGATAAGCTCTACAGAGGCAAAGACCTTATCTGTCCTATACACGGCTCCATCCTTAATACTCAGCATAAGTAGATGCTCAATAAACACATTTTGAAGGAAGGAAGGAAGTGGAATATTTAGAATTGGGTCTATGCAAGAATATTTTGAGTGTCTGGTCATCCCAGACACTGATCTGTGCAAGGAAGAAAGTCTCTTGGTCAAGAAGGATTCTCAGGGGATAAAGAACAGCAGAAACACTGTTTAACATAAGTCCGCTGACAGTGGTAGCCTGGCACAGCCAGCTCCTGGCCCCGAAGGCCAGGACAGGCAGCTGGTCACACATCCAGGCTGCCAGTATGACTTAGATGGACCATAACATGATTTCAAACTAGAAGCCGAGTTATTTCCCAAATGTCTTGCTTTGGACCTCATCTTCCAGCCAGAGGGCAGCAGCTGACCCAGGGACTGGGCATCCTATCCATCTTGCAGGCAGAGGACGTCACTTTCAGGAATGTGCCCTGACCTGTCCAACCTGTGCGTCCATCTTAGCAAATTACTGATCCCCGGTCATTACCCGCACTTGAAGGGCCTTTGCATAGCCTGTTAGAGAAACAGGGAGGGAATAGGCAACCCCGGCTCCTCAGAGAAATGGAAACCATTGGCTTATTAAGATATTTGTTATTTCTGACAGTCTCACAGACTGACTAGAGACCCCTTCCTAAATAAATTCATTCTTGGGGAAAAACCAATCGTTTGAATGCTTAAAGATAAGAAGCATTCTTATCTAGCCAAGAAGAAATCTCGAAGAGAGTGTAGTTCTGATGAGATCGTATCCTGATAGGAGGTAACTTCTTAAAGATATTACTTTATAGCTTCTGAGCAGACAATAGATGCTTATGCCTAATTACCCCTGGGAAAAAGAGAAGAACATCTGTGGGGAAAATCAGGAACTTCTTTTCTGGAACCCAGTAGTACAGTACACACCTTAGGTAGCGTCAACAGATAAAATGTAAATATCCTACACAGACTCTCCCAGATGGGACAAAGCAGGCAAGCTGACATTCCTGTGGCAACCTGGCCCAGTCACAGATCTG